TCATTGTTCTAAGTAACTCTTTTGGAGATGATTGTTAATGATTAAGTCTTTACATCAATCAGATCTATATTTAAGAGTGACTTGTTCTCATAGTGCTGTGTCATTGTTCTAAGTAAATCTTCTAGTAGATGAATAACACGTCTTTAAGACGTTATATTTACATACTTCAGTAATCTCTCTGGTAGATGAATAATAACAGATTTACTTAGTATAATGACTACATCTTACCGTGAAGAAGTTACTCTTAAGTTTTGGGTTTGATTGATGTAAAAACTTAGTTATTAACAATCATCTACCAGAAGATTTACATAAAGCAATGACTACAGTTAACTTATAAGAATTTACAGTTAAATTATGGGCTTGATTGATGTAAAGACTTAGTTTGATGAGAATGCAACAATTTTTAATTAGACTTTAAATTCTTAAACAAAGAAATTCTAATTGTTAACAGAAAAGAGGAATTATAGGTGGATGAAGGATTGTTAAATATAAAAATAAAAACTGTTATTATTTCATTCATATATTAGGTGTATACATCGCCTACAAATGTTTTTTTTTTATTTATAACTTCGTGTAGGTACACATATTCTTGTTGTTGTTGTTGTTATCTTCACATCCTAAATATTATGTTCATTTATAGTAATAATAATATCGTTCATATCAATGTTGTTGTTTTTCCTTTTTCTTATATATATTTTTATATAATTTGGTACAAATATTGTTGTCGTTGCAGTAAGTTTCACAGTACATATTTACATTACAATCTAGTACAAATAAATAATAATCAAGAACAAATTACGTACAACAATTCAAGATAGAACCGTGTAAATATTGTAAAAAAAAAAAGAATAAAAGTAAATTGAAATCAAACAGATTAATTGATTATTGATCCCTCTAGTTCGAATTTATATTCACGTACATTAAGTAATTTCAATGAGTTTTACATATGCAGAAAGACGATGTCCAAGTGAGCTTACAATATATGCATACCCAAAGAAAGAAAAAAAGTTAGTTTATATATTTTATACTGTTTACGTCTATTTACACTTAGAGCTACACATTTATATATATATATATATAAATCGAAGCATTCTTTGATCGTGTTTATGGGTTGTGAAACAGAAGTTGGGAGGTCAGAAAGGGAAAGGGCTTTACTTTACGTCCGATCACTTCGATCTAAAATCACTTGAGCAAATATCCTTTACAAATATAAGCGTTTTGCTGTGAGTTCCATTATCAATTAAACTAAAAAACCCTAAGTAGTTTATCAATTAAGATATTGCAGCTACGGTGGGATATTACCAAGACCGACCGATTTCATTCTTAGGCCGAATCGTCCCAATTCATCCAAACCAAAAAAAAAATCCACCGTAAAGCTATCATTATCAATTACTTTAGAATTTTAAGCGCTTTCGTCGACAAAAAAAAAATTGTTAATAATAATAAAAAAAAAACAAAAAAAGAATCGTCAATCATCGAATTTTTTTTTACTTATTATCTCATATATCTTAGTTATTTTGTTCATCATTTAATATTACATCATTTAAGTTTCTTTATTAAACGTTCTTTTAATTATTCAGTCTTATTTTCAATTTAATTAATTATTAAGTTAAGTTTATATATATTTTTTTTTAAATTAGTTTTAGTTTACATTTTTTTTTCTCGTTTAGATTCGCTTTTATTAATTTTCGGGTAGATTTACTATTACTAATTGATATTATATTTGTTTTTTGGTGTTTTGGAGGAGGAAATTTATGTACAAAACGGTCACATTCACATTCGAAGCTCTAAGAAAAAATTTTCGGATAATTACAATTATTATTTTTTTCTTTTTTTCAAGGGGGCGGTGGTGGTGGAGAGAGGATGGAAGGAGTAGAGTATTCTAAAAATTAGTTACATATCCTCTCAAGTATTATTTTTTTTGTTGTTTTAAATATATAATGTATAGGTGGAGGCACAGCAGATTATATTCATTAAATATCCATAAAAGTACGTTAATATATATAATATAAGAAGGCAGGTGTGATATGATATCAAAAAAAAAAAAAAAAACACAATCGTCTATGAAGTCTATGACGGTATTAGGGTACCGATTCGTACTCTTGTTTTTTTTTCTTCTTCTTCTCTTACTTAGTTTAAGGTAAAGCACAGATACGCTAAGGGTTCAATAGAGAGCTACAAAATAGGTTCTCCCCTCTGGAGATGGCCCACATCTCTTTACAAGTTTTTTTTTGTTACTCCTCAACGCCGCGCGTCTCCTTCAATAATCACTACAATTTTAATTGACATTTTAGTTGACTTTCTTAATATTTATATTCATGTCTAACGTATAACTGCAAGCTAAATGACTTCAAATTGTAACATTTTCGGCTTCGCCACAACCTTTTGCACTCCACATATAACTTACTCAACTATTTAATAACTACATAAAGTTAATCCTTACGAATTTAGTTTGTAAAACAGCAGTTTACATTTTATATCTAATAAAAAAATATGATCAACTTACTTGAGTTTAGTATCAATTAGATTTCTTAACAAAAAAAATACCATTTGTAAATTAATTCTATCACGAAACTTCTGTGCATTATGTTGTTGTTTTCATAAATAATATAAAAATTCTCATTATTTAAACTTAATAAAGTGTACAAATTGTAGAAATGTTTCTTTAAGGAAACGCAATAAGTCTAATATAAATTTAGAATTGGTATTGAGTAATAAGGATGTTGCTTTTTCTGGGTAAGACGCGCACGTGAGGTGGACTTTAGAGATATAAATGGGACGTGGTGGTAGTTGAGATTAATGGTGGAGGCGTTCGAAAGAGGAAGGATGTAGAATTAACTTGACATGGGAGACGTTCCTCGCGGATAAATTAATTGATACATTGTAAAGATTGCTACAACGTGTCTCTAATGTTGTAGAAACTAATTGCTAAAGAAGTAAGATAACATTAACGTCGGATTCACAGATAATAGAAACTGGTTTTAACCAAAATATAGTTTGTAAATTGTTATTTTCTGTTAAATTTGTGAATCTAGTTTGAATCTGTTTTTCATAATAAAAATTATGAAAACCTAATTGGAGTTGTTGAATGTTAACAATGAACCCTTGAAATAACGTTTTTTTTTATAGTAATTGCAGTATTGTTGGAGACATGATGTAAACAAGAGAGTTGTGGTTGCGTTTGAAAGGGGAAGGATGTAGAATTAACTTGACATGAGAGACGTTCCTCGCGGATAAATTAATTGATACATTGTAAAGATTGCTACAACGTGTCTCTAATGTTGTAGAAACTAATTGCTAAAGAAGTAAGATAACATTAACGTCGGATTCACAGATAATAGAAACTGGTTTTAGTCAAAATATAGTTTGTAAATTGTTGTTTTCTGTTAAATTAGTGAATGTAGTTTGAATCTGTTTTTCATAATGATAATTATGAAAACCTAATTGGAGTTGTTGAATGTTAACAATGAACCCTTGAAATTACGTTTTTTTTTTATAGTAACGCAGTATTATTGGAGACATGATGTAAACAAGAGAGTTGTGGTTGTGGTTGAAAGGGGAAGGATGTAGAATTAACTTGACATGATAGACGTTCCTCGCGGATAAATTAATTGATACATTGTAAAGATTGCTACAACGTGTCTCTAATGTTGTAGAAACTAATTGCTAAAGAAGTAAGATAACATTAACGTCGGATTCACTGATAATAGAAACTGGTTTTAGTCAAAATATGGTTTGTAAATTGTTGTTTTCTGTTAAATTAGTGAATCTAGTTTGAATCTGTTTTTTATAATGATAATTATGAAAACCTAATTGGAGTTGTTGAATGTTAACTATGAACCCTTGAAATAAGGTTTTTTTTTTTATAGTAATTGCAGTATTGTTGGAGACATGATGTAAACAAGAGAGTTGTGGTTGCGGTTGAAAGGGGAAGGATGTAGAATTAACTTGACATGGGAGACGTTCCTCGCGGATAAATTAATTGATACATTGTAAAGATTGCTACAACGTGTCTCTAGTGTTGTAGAAACTAATTGCTAAAGAAGTAAGATAACATTAACGTCGGATTCACAGATAATAGAAACTGGTTTTAGTCAAAATATAGTTTGTAAATTGTTGTTTTCTGTTAAATTAGTGAATCTAGTTTGAATCTGTTTTTTATAATGATAATTATGAAAACCTAATTGGAGTTGTTGAATGTTAACTATGAACCCTTGAAATTACGTTTTTTTTTTATAGTAACTGCAGTATTCTTGGAGACATGATGTAAACAAGAGAGTTGTGGTTGCGGTTGAAAGGGGGTTGCGGATATTGTCATGTTTGCATATATGAAAGTATATGGCGGAGTGCAAAAGGGTTGAAGAGCGTCGCCGGACGCGGGACATGTATTAGCACCTAAACCAGTGATTCCCAAAGTGGTCTATATCGACCCCCAGGGGTCTATGACAACCTGCAAGGGGTCTACGTCAGCGAAAAAAAAATTAGGGGGTCCATGAAATGAAAATGGGGGTCCACAATGGGGGATAATCAAAATCCCGACATTCGAAATTCCGACGTTCGAAATTCCGACAACCATAATCCGGACTGTATCAAAATTCCGACTAATCGGAATCCCGACAGTGTCTTTTATTGTAAATGATCGACAAAACAGAACATTAATGAGTTATCTTCGCGGAATAGCTCATAGTGTTTCATTATAATTATTTTATTCATTTATGTATTATAATAAAGATAATTTTAAAAATTCATCGCTCGAGTTTTTTATTTCTAGAATATAACGGGGGGAGTTGAGATTATTAATTGTTGTTATTTATTGTATTTGATTTCATTGAATTATTCATAATAATTTATTGTTATTAATATTAAATAATAGTTAAATAATAATAGATGGTGACTACGTTTCGGAATAATTTAAAAATGTTATTGTATACATAATAATAATAAAAGACACTGTCGGGATTTCGATACAGTCGGGATTATGGTTGTGGGGATTTTGATATAGTCGGGATTATGGTAGTCGGGCTTTCGATATAGACCAGATCTCAACATACACTGAACTTGTAAAAACCTCCACATAATGATATACCAGTATCATCTTGTTACAAGCATACGCACAGTCTCAGAGCAAAGATCTTAATAATTATAAAGATCTAGGGGGTCTACCCAAAACCGAAAAACATGGCAAGGGGTCTACGACACAAACAAGTTTGAGAACCTCTGACCTAAACTAATATCATGCATTGGATGTAAACGTATGTTTAAATTAGTTGTTGAGTGTCACTAGAGTTTGGATGGCGGTGAGAGAGAGAGGGAGATTCTCTGATGTGACGTGACATATTTGGTGATAAGCTTTCTGTATCAAATTTCTTACACCTAACTTATTCAGTCTGCAGTGACACCTGGGTTTGTTACGTTAATCAATTTGCGTGCATTTCGTATAGGAGAGACGTCGTGACACCGTTTTAATTCGGCGGGTAGTCGCGCGCCAGTTCCACGTAGACCAGGAAATTTCCATCGGAATTGTGTTCACCACCATCCTGGTTGGATGTTGGACATTCCACAGAGCTCTGCGGTGTGAATATCTGCGAGTATTCGGTCGGTTTATCCTTGTGATCCTCCGGAAAGCCGTTGACGTTGTGTCTGGGACACGTAGGACTCGCGTGCTTCGGACAGTCCTCGGGTGCCGTCAGCGGTTTGTGTTTCGGGCAGGGCGATGCTCCAATTATGTTTATGTCGGGGGGTTTTCCGTTTGCTAGACGAAGGTGCTTGTTGCCGTTCTCCACGTCCGTCGTCAACGAAGCCGCAGCCGCTGTGGGTTGCTTGACGTCGTCCGGTTGGACGCAGAGGACGTGATGTCATAGGGAGTCGCCCTCGGAGACGTCGACCAAAGGCCAGTCCGAGTCCGGCGTCGTGGCGCGGCTCTCCGAGGACGACGACGTCGTGGTCGGCGTCGATGTGACGAGGCTGAGTGGAGCTATGGAGAGTGCCGGAACGGCATGGGCTAACGGTCAGGCCACCGTTATCACGTGGTCCGGTTCCGGTGACCAGCAGTTATCCGACAACCAGCATCCAATCACGACGGTCACCAGACCTATCAGAAGGGCCAGCATTATGTATACTTCCGCATTGCCTGCAAACAATAGAGAACATGCGTTACACATCTGCAAGATAACCTGCAGTGCTGCATCCATGGGATCATCCAATTACTAACCTTATTAATCCAATATACATTCCACCAAAAACCGCTATCACGACAAAAGAGAATTGCATATGCTTGACCAGCATTACAAATAACAACATTTATTTTGAAGTTGCCATGACTACTCACTTTATACAAGCCATACATGATTTAAGTAGTGACATTAATTGATTGATTGACACCTTAGATATTTATATGTTAAAATAATAATTTACAATTCTCAACTTACGTAATGAAAATGTTTGAGAAAACTTGAATTAGATCTCTAACATTATACATATAAATCAATTTGAATGCTGCAAAATATTCATAATTCATTAGAAAAAAGTTATTGACGGTAATAGTTTAAAACTAGTAACTAAATTTATTTAAGTTGGTTACATAATATAAAATTATATGCAATTAGTAATTACGTTGGTATATTTTTAACGTCAAACAACTTTTCAAGTATTTTACGTACGTAATCATGAACCAAAAACCGCTATCACCAAAACAACTTTAGTTTTGAAGTTGCCATGACTACTCACTTTATACAAGCAATACATGATTTAAGTGGTGACATTAATTGATTGATTGATTTCAAATTACGTAATGAAAATGTTTGAGAAAACTTGAAGCATTATACATATACATCAATTTGAATGCTGCAAAATGTACAAAATTCATTAGAGAAAAGTTATTGATGGCAATAATTTAATTAAATTTATTTTAGTTGGTTGCATAATATAAAATTACAAGCAATTAGTAATTATGTTGGTATATTTTTAACGTCAAACAACTTTTCAAGTATTTTACGTACGTAATCATGAACCAAAAACCGCTATCACCACAAAAGGGAATTGCAAATGCTTGACCAGCATTACAAATAACAACTTTTGTTTTGAAGTTGCCTTTATACAAGCCATACATGATTTAAGTGGTGACATTAATTGATTGATTGGTACCAACTTACGTAATGAAAATGTTTGAGAAAACTTGAAGCATTATACATATAAATCAATTTGAATGCTGCAAAATCTTCATAATTCATTAGAAAAAAGTTATTGATGGCAATAATTTAATTAAATTTATTTAAGTTGGTTACATAATATAAAATTACACGCAATTAGTAATTACGTTGGTACATTTTTAACGTCAAACAACTTTTCAAGTATTTTACGTACGTAATCATAAACCAAAAACCGCTATCACTACAAAAGAGAATTGCATATGCTTGACCAGCATTACAAATAACAACTTTTGTTTTGAAATTACCATGACTACTCACTTTATACAAGCCATACGTGATTTAAGTGGTGACATTAATTGATTGACACCAACTTACGTAATGAAAATGTTTGAGAAAACTTGAATTAGATCTGTAGCATTATACATATAAATCAATTTGAATGCTGCAAAATGTTCATAATTCATTAGAAAAAAGTTATTGATGGCAATAATTTAATTAAATTTATTTAAGTTGGTTACATAATATAAAATTACACGCAATTAGTAATTATGTTGGTATATTTTTAACGTCAAACAACTTTTCAAGTATTTTACGTACGTAATCATGAACCAAAAACCACTATCAAAACAAAAGAGAATTGCATATGCTTGACCAGCATTACAAATAACAACTTTTGTTTTGAAATTGCGATGACTACTCACTTTATACAAGCAATACATGATTTAAGTGGTGACATTAAATTATTGATTGATACCAACTTACGTAATGAAAATGTTTGAGAAAACTTGAATTAGATCTGTAGCATTATACATATAAATCAATTTGAATGCTGCAAAATCTTTATAATTCATTAGAAAAAAGTTATTGATGGCAATAATTTAATTAAATTTATTTAAGTTGGTTACATAATATAAAATTACATGCAATTAGTAATTACGTTGGTATATTTTTAACGTCAAACAACTTTTCAAGTATTTTACGTACGTAATCATGAACCAAAAACCGCTATCACCACAAAAGAGAATTGCAAATATTTGACAAGTATTACGAATAACAAAATTTATTTTGCAGTTGCCATGACTACATAAACCATACATGATTTAAGTGGTGACATAAATAGTCTTAAGTTAGCAGCTTAGTACAAAACTGCAACACAAACCAAATTGAATAATGTAATCTTAATTGATGGCAATAACTTCAAATATTCTTAAGTTAGCAGCTTAGTACAAAACTGCAACATAAACCAAATTGAATCATGTAATCATAATTGATGGCAATAACTTCAAATAGTATTGGTTACACAAGTAGTAATTGCACGTCAAATATAGTGCGTATGAAGCCGACACTTTTCAAGTATTTTACGTACGTAATCACGAAGAATTTATTATATATTGAGACAATTGTAACATTATATAAGAAATATGCATTGAAGTTGTATTTAATTCTTGAAATCTGGGTGTGCTGTGCAGACACGTGCACCAACTTAAATGTTGTACGAAACTAAGTAGTAGATTTATCTAAATTCACATTGTGAAATTATATAATTTAAAAAAGAACTTCAAATATTCTTAAGTTAGCAGCTTAGTACAAAACTGCAACATAAACCAAATTGAATCATGTATTCATAATTGATGGCAATAACTTCAAATAGTATTAGTATTATATAAATTGGTTGCACAAGTAGTAATTGCACGTCAAATATACAACATATGAAGCCGACACTTTTCAAGTATTTTACGCACGTAATCACGAATAATTGATTATATATTGAGACAATTGTAACATTATATAAGAAATATGCATTGAATTTGTGTTTAATCCTAGAAATCTGGGTATGCTGTGCAGAAACGTACACCAACTTAAATGTTGCACGAAACTAAGTAGTAGACATATCTAAATTCACATTGTGAAATTATATAATTTAAAAAAAAAACTTCAAATAGTCTTAAGTTAGCAGCTTAGTACAAAACTGCAACATAAACCAAATTGAATACTGTAATCATAATTGATGGCAATAACTTCAACTAGTATGAGTATTAAATAAATTGGTTACACAAGTAGTAATTGCACGTCAAATATTTTGCATATGAAGCCAACACTTTTCAAGTATTTTACGCACGTAATCACGAAGAATTTACTATATATTGAGACAATTGTAACATTATATAAGAAATATGCATTGAATTTGTGTTTAATCCTTGAAATCTGGGTTTGCTGTGCAGACACGTGCACCAACTTAAATGTTTTACGTAATTAAGTAGTAGATTTATCTAAATTCACATTGTGAAATTATATAATTAAAAAAATAACTTCAAATAGTCTTAAGTTAGCAGCTTAGTACAAAACTGCAACATAAACCAAATTGAATCATGTAATCATAATTGATGGTAATAACTTCAAATAGTATTGGTTACACAAGTAGTAATTGCACGTCAAACATAGTGCGTATGAAGCCGACACTTTTTAAGTATTTTACGCACGTAATCACGAATACTTCAGATTTCCCATTTGTTTACAAAGTGCTTCTGGGAATGCAATGCACCGATAATAATTGCATTGTTTTGGTTAACGATTATATAATTAATTTGCTTGGAAAGTACAGTAACCACCCGGACTTACGTCATCCAAATACTATCACTATGCAGATAAGAAAACAAATATGTTTGCTTGCAAATTGAATGCTTCATCAATTATTCAGAATTCAGTTTGTATGATAGTGTTGTATTAATATTGTAATAGATATTCTATATTAGTGATTCCCAACTAGATTATACCTGAGAGTACTCGTATTACGGGTTGAGAATCGCTGTTCTATATAGTTATCCTGGATTCAACACAGTTTGTTGTTGATCCATGCATCATTACCTAATTGTTTGCGAATTCCGTTTCCCATTTTGCTCCTCCAGAGGCTGTTGATCAGCGTGGGATCAGCCCTGCGCCATTCCCTCCATCCTGCCCAATTCCTTCGGATTCCGCCCACGCCGCCTCCCATCCCCGAAGGTGCAACTGCGAGTCCTGGCAGAGGCGTGCTTTGCGGAGCACCAGCTTGAGGCTGTCCGTGAGCTCCTGATTGCGGGGACGGTAGACCAGTTACTAGAAAGACAATACAATACAACAAATTTATTATTCCCATTATGTCTCCACTATTGTCCAAAATACACATTGTACAAACAGCTAAAAAAAATTGTATTCATATTTCAAAAATTTAACTATGTCCTTTTCAACATCCAACTATAAATTGTAATAGATTAAAATGAATTAATCCAAAAAAACTTATTGTTTCGGATTTTGCATTTAGTTAACCGTAAATCTTGAATTCTCCACTGAAACTACACTGAAATGTATGGTAGACGTTTGTTGCGTAAACAACAGAACATACCTTCCATTGTCCATACACAATTGTGCACGAAACAGCGTAAAGTGCATTAATAATTCACTGTTGCGGACGTTTTTCCGCTGTCCTTTTCAACGTTTGCGTTGGAAATTGCAAGAGTTTAAATTGAATAAGAGTCCTTTGAATAACCGCACTTTGTATCACGTATTTTACATCAAGAACTGCAGTTTTTTTATCTTCCAATATTTGAATTACTCATCAAATATATAGAAAATTTACATTCTGATTTTCATATATTTCAGGAAAAATATTGCATATTAAGTTTTCTATAATACTTATCAAATTTATTGTATATTGAGACAATTGTAACATTATATATGCATTGAATGTGTGAAATTTAATCCTTGAAATCTGGGTGTGCTGTGCAGACACGTGAACCAACTTAAATGTTGTACTTAACTAAGTTGTAAATTAATCTAAATTCACATTATGAAATTATATAATTAAAAAAAAACTTTAATTAAGATTTTATACATTTCTTATATGTTTGCTAATCAATTTAGTAAGATTTACATGGAATGAAACCTTTTTTCCTGGCATTCAGAAATATTTACCTTAGAAATTTAAAATGCAAATGCTAGTGGAAAGAAAATGCAATGAAAAAGTTGAAAAGAACTTGTGTTTATTTGATTCAGTTTTATTCGCGCGATAAATTCGTTCGGTGTGTAAAGTGTAGCAATAAATAATTAGTTTGCGTAGTCGAAAAGCGGCGTCGAAGGGCGAAGTTGGGAGCAGGAGAAGTAGATAAAAAAAGACCATACAGTTCTGAAAAAGGGCGCAGCAATTTGCGTATGCAGCTTCGACTCTTTTCTTTCTTTCCTTTTTTTAGTATACGTTTTTCTTTTACTGTTGTTGCAGAACGAGGACGATAAAAATTAATGCCGCTAGATAAATTTCGTCCTGGCCGTGATTCGCATATGCTTACGGAGCGCAGAGATACTTCAATTATTTGTGGAGGCAACAGTAAAAAGAATGAAATAAAATAAGAGCGAAGGAGTTATGCGTGGCAAATGGAAGCCAAATGTTTGCAAAAGAACTGAAAAGAACGGTTTATGGTATTTAAAAAAAAGTTTTGTGTCTAAAGAATGAAGATTTGATTCATGAAATATTAATATTTACGTAATTAGAATATTAATATAAATTGGGGAAATAATGCAAGGAGTTCCACTTGCTGTTGTTCTGGATCCGTAATTACATAAATCTAATATAAAATGTTAATAACTTAAATTATCCAAATTTATTTAAATTACAAAGAAAACTCAACGATAATTCTAATTAGTGAAGCTATTGATAATAAATATTTGTATTTTTGCATTTAATTACAATAAGACAATAAATTTAATTGATTAGAAGAAAATGTCTATGGAAATCGAGTAGAGAAAAAGTTTTTTTTTATATTATATTTCTCTTGTCGTTTATGGATGATCTGTCATAAATATCTATAATAATAATAATATGGATAAAAGTTTTACGAAAATTGAGAAGTTGTAAAAGCTTTCCACTCACCAACCAATAAATAATAATAATATTAATGTGAACTGAAATAACGAATAGATGTTGAAGAATCGAAAGTGAAAGATTTTAATATTATTTATGTTCACTTACAACCATTATGTGTAAAGTTTAACAACTTTATACAAAGCTTTTCAATATATTCCATACAATAAATAAATTGAAGGATTTTTTAACGCAAAATATTTATGCTTATTCCTAATGTATAGAGAAAAGCTTAGTTATTAATTAATCGGTTAATATTTTTGTCTTGCAGAAGATAAATCTACAATTTGATGTTTTTTTTAATTAATAATTACAATATAAATTGTAAATTTTGTTAAATTTATTTGGATTTTATTGCTATTTCTTTTTAATTTTCTTTTGAAAATTTTATATGAAATCTATTAAAACATGTAATTATTTATTGTGTATAGGTAAAAATGTAAATTACTTACTTATAATTACAACAATTAATTAAAATTTTATCTGTAATAAATTAAACATTTTCAGCAAATTGGTGTTGATTTTCTTTTAGACTTTTATACATTTTTTTTTACAAAAATGTTGAGAAAAGTGAAGTCAATTAATAATAAACAAAATTTATTGTATAACAATATAAAGGATGTCCCAAAATAAGCAGTTTTTAGTAAAAAAAACTTTTTATTTGATAATTGATGAAATTTCCCATAATTGCTGGAAAATTATCGAAATTCATTTTTGAGGTCCTCAATGGTTTGAGGTTTATTGACGTACACTCTATTCTTAAGATAACCATAAAAGAAAGAAGTCTAACATTCACCTTTAATTTCTTTGTAAATTTTTACGCATTTGTACTTGTGACAGCAAATGTTTATTAGTGACAGCACATACAAATCTATATTCTGATTTGCGGCAAATATAAAATGTCACTTCTATTTGGGACATCCTTAATTTTGTTATATAATAAAATTTATTCCTAATCGTTTATCGTTTCTGTATTTTTTCATAACTTATCCTTAAAGTTTACTAATACCAGCACATACAAATCTCTACTCTGATTTTACCGTAATAAAAAAATGCGACAAATTTAAAATGTCACTTCTTCTTGGGACATCCTTAATTTTGTTATATAATAAATTTTTTCCTAACCGTTTTTCGATACTGTACTTTTTCATAACATATCCTCAATGTTTACTAATACCAGCACATACAAATCTCTACTTTGATTTTACCTCAATAAAAAAATGCGGCAAATTTAAAATGTCACTTCTTCTTGGGACATCCTTAATTTTGTTATATAATAAAATTTGTTCCTTATCCTTTTTCGATCCTGTACTTTTCTATAACATATCCTCAATGTTTACTAATGCCAGCACATACAAATCTCTACTCTGATTTTACCGCGATAATAAAATGCGGCAAATTTAAAATGTCACTTCTTCTTGGGACATCCTTAATTTTGTTATATAATAAAATTTGTTCCTAATCCTTTTTCGATCTTGTACTTTTCCATAACATATCCTCAATGTTTACTAATGCCAGCACATACAAATCTCTAGTCTGATTTTACCGCGATAAAAAAATGCGGCAAATTTAAAATGTCATTTCTTCTTGGGATATCCTTAATTTTGTTATGTAATAAAATTTGTTCCTACACGTTTTTCGATCCTGTACTTTTTCACAACTTATCCTTAATGTTTACTGATGACAGCACATACAAATCTCTACTCTGATTTCACCAATATAAAAAAATGCGGCAAATTTAAAATGTCACTTCTTCTTGGGATATCGTTAATTTTGTTATATAATAAAATTTGTACCTAAACGTTTTTTGATCCTGTACTTTTTCATAACTTATCCTCAATGTTTACTAATGCCAGCACATACAAATCTCTACTCTGATTTTATATAATAAAAAAAATATTATTGAATTGTTATTCTCTTTAAATTTCACAAATGTTGCTAAGCTTGTAGTCTAATTTACTTCCACATTTAACAAATAATTAACCAATTTATCTTTCTGACAACAAATAGAATACAAGCGGATTGAAGGATTAATGGATTCCGTTAAGTAATTGCAACGTTTGAATTTGTTATATTTAATTATCGCGCAGCCAAATTTTCCGCTTTGAACCGCACTTCTGCTCGCACACATTATTAATAATCCCTGCCCAAATACCCGAATACTTTGTGGCCGTCCCAAAACCCCGAAACGGAATGATTAACATGTTTATAATATCCGACGCGTTATCGATTCTCAGCGAAACGCGTGCACATGCAACAATCCCATACCGTAAAATACACGTATTTACAATAAATAAACATAATTTCACTAAAACACGAATCGCCTATTTCGTAAAAACTGCAGACAAAGCAAAGAAAATGTAATTTTATTCATGAGTTTCTCGTCTGTTCCCTTTTTCTTCCGTGTCTCGCAATTTTCAGCATCGCATGAAAGGTTAATTGTTACTTTTTGGTTTTTTTTTTCTCTCTCTTATAATTTCATTTTCATTTTATATTCTAGCGTTAATCTGATTTGGGTTAGCGAACTCGTCCTTCCGAGTCGGCTGATTATTAAAAAGTTTTCGCGATTTTTAAACTGCAATTAAACTATCTTTTATGATGGGAATGCAGCAAAACTGTAAGCCGCTAATTAAAAATCCACTCGCTGTCTGTCAGTTTATATATCACTGCGAATCTTCACTTTTTGTAGAAAAAAAAGGGATCCAGTATCAAACGAAACTCCAATTGCAAATTAACTTATGAAAGCTCTTTTTTCATTAAGTTGATATAATAATGTGTCAGATTTTTTTTATACATTTTTTTAATCCATTTACTTTTAACTTTTTCAAATTGAAAATTATCAAATATTTTTTTGAAATAAATATAAAATTAATTATAAACTAATAATTTTCATCTTGTAGATTAAGTAAATCCATGGTTTTTTGTTGTATCACATAGATTTTTACTCAATTTACTTTAATTCTAATTAATAAAATCTGTAGTAAACTTATCTAAATTAAAATTTATCAACTTATTTAATTTACAACTTTTTTAATTAATAAATTGTAAAAGATTTAATTAGAAAATAGTATTTTTCAACTTGTACAAGATTTGTCTTTGATTTACATAGATTTTACTCAATTTACAGTATTTCTAATTAATAAAATCTATAGTAAACATATTCAAATTCAAATTTTTCAACGTAATTCATAACTTTTTAATTGATAAATTTTAAATAAACAAAAGTTTTAATTAGAAAATTGTATTTTTCACTTTGTATATTCAAAAAGTTCTAGTTTTTTGTTTGAATTACATAGATTTTTTTTCAATTTACTGGTGTTCTAATTAAAAAGGAGAAAATTTATTAAAATTCTAATTTTTCAAGTTATTCAATTCACAACTTTTTTCATTGATAAATTGTAAATAATCAAGAGTTTTAATTAGAAAATTGTATTTTTTACACTTGAAGATTTTTGTTTGAATTACATAGATTTTATTCAATTTACTGTGATTCTATTGAAAAAGTTGTAAATTTAATAAAATTCTAATTTTTCAAGTTATTCAATTCATAACTTATTTCATTGAAAATAAATAAAAGTTTTAAGTAGAAAATAGTGTTTTTCACCTGTATAAATGTTTATTTAAAATTATTGATGAAAACTATTATACATTGAATATTATATAAATCATATCCACATCAAAATCCAATCAAATTTATATAATATTGAATCAATTAATATTATATAAATCTCAAAATAATTCACCGAAATATACATTTCAACAATTAATTATTTCAGCGTAATTAAATTAATATTGTTGTTATTAATATAACTGTGACGCATAAACTTAATACGTGTAACCAATAAAATTATTCGCATAGGATTTTTATATAATATATTATCTTTATCAAAAATAATTTTGTATACTATTAATAAATGTATAATTACTTTAGTATCTTTGATGAAAATTAGTTCATTAGATAACAAATTACAGCAATGCTTCGCATAGTACGGATTATCGTTTTATACAATATCTCAAATTGTTTGAAACCGGACTAATCAAGGAACTAAATATATACAAATAAACGTACAAAAAGACTTAACTAAATGAATGAAAAAATCGATAATTTCTTATAATTAAAATAATTTTGTGTACTCAATTAAATTTTAATTTATTGTGAAATTTTCAATTCGGACTATATTGAATTTGGATTGATTGAAACCGGACTATAAAGATAATAAAATTTAGTTCGTTGAGAATTTTTTATATAAAATATTCTATATTTAATTGCAAATATTTGTTTTTCCTAACAATTAATTATTACTAAAATTGTTTATTTTCTAGAAATATTTTCAATTTCAGCATAATAATGCTATTATTTGTTGATGAAAGAAAAGAAAACTAATATAAATCAAATGATTTAAACTGATTTTTCGTCTTGAAATTTAATTTCCGTCGCGGATTCTTTCCTCTTTTTTTTCCATCGATAAATCAAGAGAAAGGAGGCTTTTGTAAACCGCAGCACACTGAACGAAATTGATGATTGACTCCTCTACTACCACCAATACATTTGGCTCGCTGACAAAATATTTAGATATAAAAAGAGACAGCTTCGATTTTTATATCTTTTTAAGAGATTATATTCGTGAAAGTTGCCAAAACACGCAGTGAATTTAGATAATTTTATTCAATATATTCATTTATTGGAATAATAAATCTTTCAGCATTTTAAATATAAATTAACTTTTATATTCAAATCATGAATTCTAATAGAAATTCGATTTTAATAAAAAGGAGTTTCATACGTGATTTCAATAACTAAACTTTCTGTACATAATATAATTATTTTTATTATTCATTAACAATTTGTTATTAATCATAATTTGGATCTCATTATTTAAATTTTATTAAAAAAAATGTATAAAAATTATAATTTTGAATTTTTGAAGAAAATTATAATTATATTGAATTTATATAACAAAAAAATAATGAAATATTAATAAATATATTAGTAAATTGAATGTGTATATGTTGTTGCAGTGATTATGTTATTATCACGAGAAATTAAAATTAATTTGTAATTTTCGGATGAGGCCAAGTGCAGTGAATTATCAATTAACTAATATGTGATAATGCTTTATTGTTCGATGGGTTTTGCCTCGTGCACGTTAATTAATTATGCCGGTCCGATAATTAACGTATTTGCGCAAATTATAACATATAATTTTAACGGTAAAGTATATTTAAAGCATTGATCCAAGCAAGATACATGTGTTTTTGCTATGGAAATATTATTATTGGTGGATGCGTAAGTTTGTTAATACAACAATATCTCGTTTAGTCCGGTTTCACTATATTTTAATTTGAATGTTTGCAAATAAACTAAATTTTAATAAAGAAAAAACATAAATCTATTAATTCAAGTCGTTTTTTGTATGTATTTAGTTACTCGATTAGTACGGTTTCAGACAATCAGAGATATTGGAGGAAACGATAATCCGCACTATGCTTATAGCAATATCTCGCATAGTCCGGTTTTCAATCAGTCCGGATTCGCTAAAATCCCGATTGAAAATATCATAACAAACTAAATTTTATTTGAGCAAAATAAGTTCTAAAAATTTAGTACACAAAACTATATTTTTTGTATTTATATAATTTCTCAAATAGTCCGGTTTCAGAACATCTGAGATATTGGAGGAAATGATAAGCAATATAGCAATATCTTGCATAGCCCGACTTCGATCAGTCCGGATTCACTCGAGTCCGAATTGAAAATTATTTTTATTTTAAATCGTTTTTTTTTTTGTATTTATATAATTCCTCGAATAGTGCGGTTTCAGAAAATCTGATATATTGGAGGAAATGATAATCCGCACTATGTGTATAGCAATATCTTGCATTGTTCGGCTTCGATTAGTCCGGATTCAATACAGTCCGGATTGAAAATTATTTTTATTTCGAGTAGTTTTTTTTATTTATATAGTTTCTCGAATAGTCCGGTTTTAGACAATCTGAGATATTGGAGGAAATAATCCGCACTATGTGTATTGCGTTGTCCGGATTCAATACAGTCAGGATTGAAAATTATTATTATATCAAGTCTTTTTTTTAATTATATAGTTCCTCGAATAGTCCGGTTTCAGAACAAATGAGATATTGGTGGAAATGATAAGCAATATCTTGCATAGTCCGACTTCGATTAGTCTCTTATTTCCTCAAATAGTCCGGTTTTAGAAAATCTGAGTTATTGGAGGAAATGATATGATAATCCGCAGTATGTGTATAGCAATCTCTTGCATTGTTCGGCTTCGATCAGTCCGGATTCACTACAGTCCGGATTGAAAATTATTTTTTCTAAACAAATGATCGTTTCTTTTTCATTTATATAGTCAAGTTGTTTTTTTGTATTTATATAGTTCACCGATTAGTCCGGTTTCAGAAAATTTGAGATATTGAAGGAAACATTAATCCGCATTACGAATACAGCAATATCTCGCATATTTTGACTTCGATCAGACCGGATTTTCTATAGTCCGTTTTGAAAATTTCACAACATAGTAAATTTGAATATCTCGCATAGTCCGGTTTCAATCAATCCAAATTCAATTGAAAATTTCACAATAAATTAAATTTTAATTGAGAACACAAAATTATTTTTGTTAAAAGAAATTATCGATTTTTTTATTCATTTATATAGTTAAGTATTTTTGTACGTTTATTTGTATTATTTAGTTCCTTGATTAGTCCGGTTCCAAACAATTTTAGATATTGCAGGAAACGATAATCCGCACTATGCGAAGTATTGCTGCAATTTATTTTCTAATGAACGAATTTTCATATACAAAATTATTTTTGATAAAGAAAAAATCACCTTTTTTTGCATTTATTCTGTCAAGTAGTGTCATGCGTGTATTCCTCGATTAGTCCGGTATCAGAGATATTGACGGAAATGATAAATCCGTACTATGCGAGGTATTTAATTTGCTTTGTAATGAAAGAATTAACAAACATAAAGTTATTATAAACTTGTTAATTACTAAATTTACATGAAAAAATCAAAATAATTTCGTTTTATTTTCATTATGTTTTCAAATATTTTATGTTTAAATTCCATTAATATAATTTCTAATAATTAAGTATGTGAGTATTTTTTTTCTAAAATAAATGTTAAAAAATGTGGATAATTTCTTCGTTTAAAAATCCATATGAAAAGTGTATTTGATGTTTGAAAATCGTTGATCTGAATGATTGTCGATGTAGATAGTTTATCTTGGATGAAGCTTGAACGCTCTTTAATCTTCTACAATCTAGCAGCGAGGAAAACTGATAATCCAAGTAAACGCGACATAAAAATGCCATTAAACGCCGGATCCTTTTTTTTTTCTTTCACATCCTGAATTTGGATGTGTTTGTGTTACGATGCGCGTTCGAATGCGTGGATTTTGTGTGGAAATTGCTAGGTTCGCAAACTCTAAAATGCAATTGATGGCCGGAGAATTGGAAAGTTACGAGGTGGCGAGATCGTGAATAAATGAAAGGTCTCTGTTTACCCAGGAGGACGACGAGCGCGAGGACGAGGAGACATGTGAGAAGCCAGTCCATTTTGGGATGCATCGCGGCGGAAGGGCCCTCGTCAACACCGCGACGCCCCAACACACATCACCTTCCAAGTGAAACCCAGGTGTGCTCCTCCTCCGATGTATTCGTATCTATGTATGTCCTCACGGCCCGTGCGTTTTCGATCCTGGAACAAAAGGCGAATCAATAAAGCTACAAATGCGGCGGTGGAGAAAAGGTACACGAGAATACTTGAGGTGCATACATTTTTCAGGACGAGACTAATTTGGTCAGCCTGAAACAGTTTACGGCCGTTTCAGTTTCAAATATTCAGCGCGAGACGTTCGTACGTCGCGCTTAATAAATAATATATGCTATATCCAGTTTCCAACCTGCTTTTTTTCCCACCTGCAACCTTCAACCTCAAGGAAAACCTAGTTTTGCGAGCGGTTTTCTTAAGCGACGAAGTTTTTCAGTTATTAAAATCTGTTTGCTCCCACGCTTAGAAAACACGCCACCGCCGTCCCATCCGGCTCTTAACAAATCGAGGAAACATTTCCACGGACAAATATTTGCCACCAGTGATCGATTACATCCACAGCAGCAAAAAGACAATACAAACACAAAAGTTTCAGCAAAGTTTGAATTTACGACTTCTTGATGATCGAAGAGATCAACACACTTGATAAACACATTTAAGTTAAAACTAAGATAATATTTTCACAGAAGAATCTTGAAAAAATAAGCGTCAAAATTTTCACAGCAAAAATGCTTAAAAATTCAGTAATAAATTGAGATTGAAATTTTGTTGGAAGTATGCAAAACAGGGTTATTCAATACTGGGGCTAATACTGTTAAGCTGCGAGCAACAAGTTGAAAAGGAAAGGGACCGAAGGGCCGAAGTTTCTTCTCCTGAACGCACCGCAATTAAGTTTAAATAATTTAAAGAATGAAGGATTTCTTGGAGGGATGGAAGGATTCGGTGACCGAAGAAGGATGCAAGTGGGAAAAAAGTGTGTCAGGAGATAGAAGTCTCGGGGGAAATCGCGCGCCGCAATGAATCACGAAAACCGCCGTCGCCTGAAACCATTCATCAATCCTAAAGACGTGCGGATATCTCTGGATGCATAAATTAAGTGGACTTTTCACAGATATGATTTCAACTTTTCTAACGTTAGATTTGCTTCAATTGGATTTATGAAACTAATTATGACAATTGGAATTTTAAAGTTTTAACTCGACAATCTCGACAATCATGAAAGACTGAATTATAATTGAATTCTTATATTAAAATTCAGCGAATAAAACGTGTATATGGGCATATTTAGAACTATTCTGGTTTATGTAAGTCGCATTCAAGCTTCTAGAAATGAAAAATTAAGTGTAGTAAAAGCAATGTTTTTAGTTTTTACTTTTTAGCAATTTTCTCAGCGATCACAAAGGATTCAATTATCAATAAAAGCTTAAATTAAAGTCAAATTTTTAGAGAATGAAATGAGTATTTGTGAAAAATTGTAAGTCTTTGAGATTTCTTGTAATTCTCCCTTAAATATTATATTAATCACAATAAATTGTAAACTTTTATACGATATTTCTATCACTGTTTGTTTATTGCAGTCGTTGGATTGATATGTTTGCAATAGATCTCGAACATAAAAAAGACTCTCTCCGACAAATATTATGGCCATCAAGGAGCGTAAATTCTGGTATTCTTCTGGTTTGTGTAATTCAAGTTTCTAAAAATGAAAAATTAAGTGTAAAACAATGTTTAGTAATTTTCTTGAAAATCAAGAATGACTCAATTATCAATAAATGCTTAAATTAAAGTCAAGTCTTTATAGAATGAAATGAGTATTTGTGAAAAATTGTAAGTCTTTGAGATTTCTTGTAATTCTCCATCAAAAATATATTAATCACAATAAATTGTAAACTTTTATACGATATTTCTATCACTGTTTGTTTATTGCAGTCGTTGGATTGATATGTTTGCAATAGATCTCGAACATAAAAAAGCCTCTCTCCGACAAATATTATGGCCATCAAGGAGCGTAAATCCAATTCCGCATAAAAGCTTCAAAGGGACAATCAATACCGTCAAACCAAAATAAAAATGTAAGACGAAGGAAGAACGTGTGCAAGATGAACGGCGAGTAGATGGGATCTAATCTGAGGATGGTTTCGTTTATGGTTTTGGTCGCACAGTAAATATCCAAGTGGGACTTTTATGTGCGTTACCCCAGCTCGGACTTTGCCAATGCCAGACGGAGGCGCATCCTTTTTATTTACGAAAACCAACCCCTTCCAGTTGCAATCAAAAGAGGCGCACGACAATGTCTTTAATTCGGTTCGTAACTTTTCAAATTACGATTATTAAAAGGCGAGCGCTCGAATTTATTATCTCAGCCGCCCGGGCGATGGGGCGACTCTCGGCATTAGTACGAGAAGAAAAGGAAGCAGAAAGAGGATTTCAAAAAGTTATTTCCGGTGCCTTCATTGTTGTCCTACAATAATTCCAGCCGTGAATCACTGGAGTAAGTAACGTTCGTATACTTGCAAGTACATAAATATTGCAGTATTTATTTCTTTTTACAAGACTTTTGTAGTTATTTTGATTAAATAAACAAAATAACAAATATTAAGTAGATAATCAAATGAGAATAAGGAGTAAACACAAGGAAACATCTAAATCCTTGTATGAAATTTTGAGTATTAATACAAAAAAAATCCATATAAATTTGAAGAAATATTAAATGATTATTTTGAGAATTGAATAAGTTATGTGAATTTCCATTAACTGAATTTGTTTTATATTTTAGCTGCAATTAAAAATTCAGTAAATCTCTCTGTTACTTTAGAACTTTCCGAGTTTAAAACTGAAATTGATTGCAGTTGGTAATCCATTTCGCTAGTGGAACAGACGATGTCACCCCTATCTATTTTTATGCAGGGGCACTTAGCGAGTGCCTCGCTTTCAATCCTCTCCACTTCACAGAAAGTAAATATAAAAATTCTTTTCCTCGACTCGCCAACAGACACGTATTGTTTCAAAGAAGTTTTTGCGGAAATAAACCCGTTTCCGGGATCGATACAGCAAAGAGACCCAATCATTATTGCGTCGACGATTGTATTTTCGATGGAGGAAACTCTTGATTTATCGCCCGAGGTCAAATGTGTTATCGCAAATTCAATTATTTCACCTGGATTACGTACGTTACAACCCTTTCTAGTATCCGGGGACATACTCTAATTCTCTCAGTTATATAAACTCTGCTCTCTCAATAAGCATATCTGTTTATAGTATAAAGTTTATACTTTAGCATATTTAGATTTTAAAGTTTGTTTTTAGCGATTTTCTCGATATTCTGAAACGACTGAAATATGATTGAATGCTTAAATTAAAGACAAATATTCAGAGAGTAAAACATTGTAAGTATTACGGTTTTCTTATAATTTACAGTCAAATATGAAGAAACGAAAAATTAAGTGTCGAAAAAGGAATGTCTTCAATTTATAGCAATTTTCTTGAGAATCACGAAAGACTGAAATATAATTGAATGCTTAAATTAAAGACAAATAATCAGAGAATAAAACATTTTAACTGTTTTCTTATAATTTACAGTCAAATATGAGGAAACTAAAAATTAAGTCAAAAAAGCAATGTCTTCATTTTATAGTAATTTTCTTGAGAATCGCGAAAGACTGAAATATGATTGAATGCTTCAATTAAAGACAAATATTCAGACAATAAAACATTGGAACTGTTACGGTTTTCTCGTAATTNNNNTATAGCAATTTTCTTGAGAATCATGAAAGACTGAAATATGATTGAATGCTTAAATTAAAGACAAATATTCAGAGAATAAAGCATTGTAACTGTTACGGTTTTCTTATAATTTACAGTCAAATATGAAGAAACGAAAAATTAAGTGTCGAAAAAGCAATGTCTTCAATTTATAGCAATTTTCTTGAGAATTACGAAAGACTGAAATATGATTGAATGCTAAAATTAAAGACAAATATTCAGAGAATAAAACATTTTAACTGTTACGGTTTTCTTATAATTTACAGTCAAATATGAAGAAACGAAAAATTAAGTGTCGAAAAAGCAATGTCTTCAATTTATAGCAATTTCCTTGAGAATCACGAAAGACTGAAATATGATTGAATGCTTAAATTATAGACAAATATTCAGAGAATAAAACATTGGAACTGTTACGGTTTTCTCGTAATTTACAGTCAAAAATGAAGAAACGAAAAATTAAGTGTCGAAAAAGCAATGTCTTTATTTTATAGCGATTTTCTTGAGAATCACGAAAGACTGAAATATGATTGAATGCTTAAATTAAAGACAAATATTCAGAAAATAAAACATTGTAACTGTTACGGTTTTCTTGTAATTTATAGTCAAATATGAAGAAACGAAAAATTAAGTGTCGAAAATGTTATGTCTTTATTTTATAGCGATTTTCATGAGAATAAAAAAATACTGAAATATGATTGAATGCTGAAATGAAATACAAATATTCAGAAAATAAAACATTGTAATTGTTACGGTTTTCTTATAATTTACAGCTAAATTTGAAGAAACGGAAAATTAAGTGTCGAAAATGTTATGTCTTTATTTTATAGCGATTTTATTGAGAATCACAAAAGTCTGAAATATGATTGAATGCTTAAATTAAAGACAAATATTCAGAGCTTAAAACACTGTAATTGTTACGGTTTTCTTATAATTTATAGTCAAATATGAAGAAACGAAAAATTAAGTGTCGAAAAAGCAATGTCTTCATTTTATAGCAATTTTCTTGAGAATCTCGAAAGACTGAAATATGATTGAATGCTTAAATTAAAAACAAATATTCAGAGAATAAAACAATGTAATTGTTACTGTTTTCTTGTGATTGAAAAAGTGAAAAAGCAATGTCTTTATTTTATAGCGATTTTCTTGAGAAAGACTGAAATATGATTGAATGCTTAAATTAAAACTCTTTTAGTGTTCTCATAATTCAAAGTCAAACTTAAAAAAACGAAAAATTAAGCGTCGATTTTCGAAACATCACCTAATGACTCAAATTCCAGTATCCAAAGACATTCTTAATTGTCTCACTAACATAAACTCTACTCTCTCAATAAGCAAGTCGTTTTTTACTATAAAGTTTATACTTTAAACTTTATAGCATATTTATA